CCAACGCTGCGGAGATGTCTTCTTTGATATTTTGATTACAAGCAAAGGAGCTTCGGTTCTCGGTATGTTTGAATACATCTCGAAACTTTAATATGAGTTTAAATAAGAGGCGGATGTCCCCTGCACAAACAATAAAAACTGAATGAACGGCAGACAAATGTTTAGACAAACGAGTTCAAAGCAAACAAACGCCCAAACACAAGTTAGGCAACCGAGCAAACAGATGGTCGAAAGTGCAGGCAGACGCTCGCCGCCCAAGTAGCAAAAAGCAGTTTAAGCAGCAACAGCATCAAAAGTCAAAGACAACGTGGATTAAGAAACGACTTAATATTCAACCTACCAATCTCGCTAGGATTTAGATTCAGTTCATTCAATTTGTAAATACTGTCAGAAATATCCCAAACAGAATATGTAAGAGAGCTTCAAAATTCGAAAGAGACATTTTAAAAATTGGCCTTCGTATAGTTCACGTTCTCTCGAATATGCAGAATGTGGCTATTTCACGTTGTTGTTTTGTGACCTTTTGAAAACAACGGCAAAGAAATGAACAAAGAACTATAACGCACGCTTACATAGCCATTGTACTCGCTGCCGCTACCGTTGAAGTCTGCTTAATCAAACTTCCTAAAACCGAATAAACGGCAAAATAATGGACAGCCAAATGAACACAAAACAAACGGAAGCCCGGCAGAACAAAGAGGCGGCTGAGAGTGCAGAAAATATCTCTGGTATGAAACGAAACCAAAACACATAAAATGAAGCTTCCGCCATTTCGTCTTGGGTAGTTTCGAGAAAGTCGTTTCGGTTGTCCACGCATCGCGCGGGCGGTGAGGTTTTCTGTTTATATTGTTTGGCCTTCAGTTTGGAGCTAGAGTAACCTCAAACTACACAAAATATCTTCGGTCAAAAACATTTCTAAGCTAGAAAAATTTATAATTCGGTTAACTTTTAATCCTGGGTTAGCGTTAACCGGCTTTCGAACAACCCGGCCCTGGGTACCATGTCTAAAAATGGGTGGAAGGCCTATATGGGGGGTTCACACTCTTACCTTGATAATCTCTTGATCCAAGTCTCTTTTGGGAACTGAGGGACCAAAGAAACTTGGAAAATTTGCAATTTTGACGCGAAAGCCTTGGAGCCATGTTAGAATATTGATATATCGAACGTGGCCTATTGGACAATTTGTTATCGTAAAAAAACAAATTGAAGTTAGTTTTTCATGCGTCTGTCCTGTTATTGACAATGGCACAGCTACTTTGACAATGTTAAGAAGAAATTCATGATTAAAGTCTCGTTCCTTACTTAGGATCATTGTACGTGTAAGTTGTCATGTACAGGTCCCAAACTGTTTCGCAAATTACTTCTATTTCGCTGTTGGTGGCTTAATGCCTAGAACCTTTCGCTCCACTAGACTAAATTTGACTATTCATCTCGCTGCTTACAGCAAGGCGAGCATGCGATACACATTACACAGTTGATAGCTCACGTGTTCAATCACATACTGTGTTTTCTCGATCAACGGGCGCTGGATTACGGGCCCAGTTCAGATAGACGCCCAGGTCCAAATGGCCGACTTTTTAATAAATAAACGTCTATTTGAAACCGTCAATTCGTTGCAACCAATTTTCATCGATCATTGAATGTATTTATGAACTAGCACAGTTTGATTTTTCTCCCTCATTACAAAGAAGCTGGTGTACCTTTCCACTGTTTACTAAATTCTCCCGCTATGTCTTCAAAGTTAATTTAATTCTTGACCAACAAATCTGCGTATCTGCCGACATTTCATTATTCTTGTTTGTTGATTTCTTTTTTAATTTTGCGTTAAAGATAAGGAAAGACATACCCCCGGCTTTTAATCGAGAAAGTACGGAAACTAAAATTAGCCCTAACGTCAACTTCAGATAATTTAAAAACATACGTTTGCGATGTCTAGCTACAGCCAACAGGCACGTCAACTTCTTCACGTAAAAGGTAATTTTTATTACCCAGAAGG